TGAGACTGTGTTTCATTTCTTAATGCATAAACTTTTAAAAAGCTTTGATACTGTGAAAAATAATGGAAGGAACTTTTGTTTAAACCCATCATTTTATTCTGAAAATCCCTGTTGTGATTAAGCAGCTATTTGCCCATTTAAAATTAGTATTTTTAATTTAAAATTAATATTAATAAACTCTTTACTTCACATTATTAAAGGACCTGACTGAAGCATTTCTTAATGCATAAACTTTTAAAAAGCTTTGATACTGTGAAAAATAATGGAAGGAACTTTTGTTTAAACCCATCATTTTATTCTGAAAATCCCTGTTGTGATTAAGCAGCTATTTGCCCATTTAAAATTAGTATTTTTAATTTAAAATTAATATTAATAAACTCTTTACTTCACATTATTAAAGGACCTGACTGAAGAGGTTCAGAACAGTACTTGTTTAAACCTGGTTTACAATCTTACCTTCTTCTTCTCCATCTTGTTCTAATGCTGCACTTTCTTCTTCAAAACTTCCAATACCTGATTCTATTTGTGGAGCTTGGTTATGTTGCTGACTTAGTTTGTTGCGAATAACGCTGATTTCTTTCTTTAACAGCTTTGCTCTTTTGCTCCTTGACCCGCTGGATTTCATTGCACAGGTGAGATCAAGTTTTTCTAGTAACTCTCTCAGCTGTTCTTCCAAGGACATATGCACTCTGTTTGCAGGATTCAGTAACCGATCCACTGAAGCCAAAATATGTACAAGTGAAAACAAGTTAGCCTTCCCCAGAATAATAATTGCAACAACAGGAGGAAAAAAATTTTAAATTCCCGTGTCAAAAATTTTAAAAGTGCCAAAAAGCTACTTATAGTCACAGATGTTCATATTAATTCCTACTATATATTTACTATTCTTCTTAGTCAGGGTTTTGCTCAAAAAACCTAAGTTGTAGAGCAAAGAACTGAAAGGTCAGAAGGAAGACCAAATTAATCCTTTCCACCCTAACAGATGAGTTCCTTCTTGTTAAATAGAAGGATAAAATTATGGTTACAAAAGAAATGTGTTAATTATTCTCCTCCCCTGATAAAACCTCAGAAAACTGATGTGTATGTCAAAAGCATAAATTTTAATTCCTAGTATTACAAACATGCATTTTTAAGGTTACATAAGAACGTGCTGAAGTTTACGTGCACTGGTAGCCATTTTCCATGCCCTACAAAAGCATATATGATCATGTGAAAAAAACTATCTATTTAAAAACCTTTTTCATGTAACTTGTTAAATTAGGCTCTGACACTGCCAAAATCAGAATCTGGATAACACTGATAGATTTAGTAGAACAGACACACCAGAATGTTCCAAGCAATGTTTTTAATGGGGAAGCTAGTCAGCAAACTGAACAGCAACAATCCTAAACATTTGTATGGAATGTACACACTGTGGGCAATGAAAAATGCAACTTTATCAAATAACTGGAAAATATCTTACCATCTTCCCAAGAGAATGGTTGAGGTGACTCAAGTTTAGGCCGTTCAGGTAAGTGCATTCCAGTTTCATTATTGTAACCAATTCCTTCAGCATCTCGCCTAGCTTGCCTGAGAACTACACCTCCTTGATCTCTTAACCGCACTGCAGCTCTATAAAATATTGTATCTTTCGCATTGTATTTCATACAGTTATCTATGATAAGATTGAAGTCTTCTTCAAACTCACTGAGGTTTTTATAGCCTTGCGCATCTAACCGTTTTCGCATGGTAGAGAAATCCATAGGATGCTTAATATGATCCAAATAATCTGGAACCTTTGAATAAATATTTAAAACACAAATGGGTAAAATTGTCTTATTACAGCTAAAGTAACATCAGCTATTAACTAATCCACATGTTAAACATATTTTGTAACATCCCAATACAAAGTAAAGGTGTAGCTTAAAATTGCACACCTTGATACTGCAAACATTTGCACGTAATCAGAAGTTTACACATTACAACACTCTGTACCCTGGGTAACAAGTTTAAGCTCCACTAAGAGATCCTGAACCTACATGCTTTTAGAATTTTGTGGTTTATGTATCTCTTCTCCCAGGCAACCAGCGATAGGACAAGGGAAAATGGCCTCAGTTGCACCAGGGGTAGTTCAGGTTCGATACTGGGAAAAGTTTCTTCACTGAAGGGTTGTTTGGCATTGGAAGACTCCCCAAGAAAGTGATGGAGTCACCATCCCTGGGTGTGTTCAACAAAGAAGTGGATGTGGCACTTTGCAATATGCTTTAGTGGGCATGGTGGTATTAGGTCAAAGGCTGGACCTGATGATCTTGGAGGTCTTTTCCAACCTTACACATAGAACCCTAGAATCACTAAACAGATGTGTACACAGTGTGCACACACCCACCCATACCATTTGTGTAGACATGTCTACATGTTTTTAATACATATGTATGTGCTGCCTCTGTACATATGCACTCATACACACATATGCTCTGTCTAGTTTCACCTGCAAGTAAAAACACAGTATCCACATTTCAATTCCTGACACCCTTTTGAGTTTGCTTTATCAAAATCATCTTATTGCAAAATATCAGTATGTACCCATCACTCCATACAAGTACTTTGCAGAAAGTTTTTTGGTATATGAACATAAAAAGGCTTTTGTAGCAGTAAACCGTAATTCATAATGTAAATAATCAGAACAGATGTTAAAAGGTAACAATTCTTCCAACTCTGTATGGAATCATTTGTTTCTTGTACGTAAATACCACCAAGACATAGGTAAACATCAGGAAATACAGCTGCAAACACACCTCTTTAAGGTTCACTGGCTGAGCAAATATACGAGCAGAATCCTTTTCCTGCAGCTGATCCAGAACTGATCGCAGAAGTACAGTGAATGGAGTAAGCTGAAGTTCCATAGCAACCTGCTCAATCTTGACCTAAAGAAGTAATAATCATCCAGTTGAGCATTTTTCATTAACATACTATATTAAAGTTGTTTTGCAGCAAGAGAATATAGTACTTCAGACATAAACCAAAATATAAACACATTGAAGTAAAGAAATTCAATACTACTTTCAATATTATCGGTTGGCATTTGTCTCACGAACATTCACAGCTAACGATTTTACAGGAAAAATCACTCTTATTCCTTCAACTCCAGTTTCCCGGAAATCAAATTTGTCTTTTTTATGTAAGAAATTTTAACTGTATTTCTGTTCTTTGAAAAGATGTTAGGTAAGAACAGCTTCAGAGTATGCCAACAACGTGAAAATACTAAGAATTTAAAGGTATTATGTTTGAAATTAAATTTCAGATTTACTGCCATGTTCAAAGTTTAAAAAGAAACTCTGATGAACATTTACAGGCTATATGAGACCAACCAAAGAGTAATTTGAAAGACAATATTCTATGTAAATGCCAAGAAAATAATGTCATAAAACAGAATCAACATCTTCAAATACTTGAACATCCTTCAGAATTGTCAATACTTTTCAACTCCTATTTTCATTACATTTCAGCCCCTCTGCAGCTTAACTTCCAGGCCATTTAAAGAGTTATCAGCATTGAAAGAGCCTTGTTATGTCACCAACGCAAGTAAGTTAATCTGAGACATCAAGATTGGAGGCAGCAGGACTGCAGTGATCACACACTGGGGGAGTTCACAGTCCTGAGATATATGGGTCAAGCAGAGAGTAAAGTCAGGACTCTGAATTTTAGGAAAGCAAACTCCCAGCTGTTCAAGGAGTTAGCCCATAACATTCCATGGGAAACTGCCCTCAGGGACAAGGGAGCAGAACAGAGCTGGCTGACCTGTAAGGACACTTTCCACACAGCACAAGAGCTCTTGATCCCTAGGTGTAACAAATTAGGAAAGGAAGGCTGTAGATAAGGAATTGGCTGGATGGCTGACCCAGAGTGCACTTATCAATAGCTCAGATTCCAGATGGAGATCAGTGACAAGTAGTGCACCTCAGGGCTACATACCGGAACCAGTACTGTTTAGTATCTTCACCAATGACATAGACCATAGGATTGAGTACACCCTCAAATTTGCAGATGATACCAAGCTGAGTGATGCAGCTGACACACCTGAAAGACAGGATGCCATCCAGAGAGATCTGGACAAGCTTGAGAAGTGCATCCATGGAAGCTCATGGGGTTCAACAAGGTCAAGTTCAAGGCCCTGCACCTGGATGAGGACAACCCCCAGTATGAATCCAGGCTGTGCGATGAACAAATTGAGAGCAGCCCTGCTGAGAAGGACTTTGGGGTTCTGGTGGATGAAAACCAACTTGAGCCAGCAATGTTTACCTGCAGCCCAGAAAACCAACTGCGTCCTGGGCTCCATCAAAAGCAGTGTGATCAGCAGGTCAAGGGAGCTGATTCTGCCCCTTTACTCTGCCCTGGTGAGACCCCACTTGGGAGTACTGTGTCCAGCTCTGGGTCCCCCAACATAACAAGGGCATAAACCTTTAGGAATGATTCCAGAGGAAGGCCACAGATAGGATAAGAGGACTGGAGCTCTTCTCTGAAGAAAGGCTGGGACAACTGGGGATGATCAGTCTGAAGAGAAGGCTCTGGGGAGACCTCATTACAGCCTCTCAGTACTTAAAGCACTTAAAGGTTTATATGAAAGATAAGGCCTGCAGTGACAGGACAAGGGCTAACATTTTTTAACTAGATTCAGACTACATATAAGTAAGACATTTTCACAGTAAGGGTAAAGCACTGAAACAGGTTTCCCAGAGGTCAGAGATGTCCTATCCCTGGAAAAATTCAATGTCAGGTTGGATGGTGCTCTGAGCAACCTGATCTAGTTGAAGATGTCCCTACTCACTGAAGATGGCTTGGACTAGATGATTTTTAAGGTCCCTTCCAACCTAAGCCATTCTATGATAATTTTAAATATTTTAAATAGCTTGAGTGCACACCTCCTTCTAAGCACGGACATTACTTGAGCCTGCATGAGGATTAAAAAACAGCAGTCTTTCTACTGCAAAAACTTTAAGAATACTTAAACTATCTTTCCTTCAAAAACCTTTCACCAAATTAAAAAGTATTCCGTTTACCTGTTCTCTTTTTAATTTTTCACGCTTACGTATGAGTTCTATCAACAAACGCGCTCGTTCAAGATCATGGCGCAGCCTTTGCCAGTACTTCAATTTTTCTTTTAAGGCTTGCATTTCTTCATCATCTTCTCTCTAAAAAAAGAATCAAAAGCTTTTAGTCAAATGAAAAATGTTAGCCTCTTTTTATAGGACAGTTTCATGCAATAACAGAATGTGTTCACGTGAAAGGAACAACTACTGTCTTACAGTTATGGCACTTGGTCCTAAGTTTCATACTGCAATAAAAGAAAACCTCTTCCAGAGTTTCCCACAGGTCTGGCAAAACTAAATCTATGAACTGGAAAGCAATCCTATGGTGAAGTCTATTTTCATCAGAAGCAGCAATATAGCAAGCAGCAGCCTAGCAATACAAGCTGCAAAACACAATACACTATTTTTGCTTGAAGATCCAAACCAGGCGAACATCACTTTCTTCAGAAATTCAAGCCTGGTAGAAACAAATTATTTTCGTGGTCACCCCAGTTCACCTCCCCCACACGCAGCAGAATTAGGACATGCTTGTAACAGAACAAAATCATTATGGCTTCTGAGGACAGGAAATGAAAAGTTGTTTATTAAATAGTAACAGTAACTTCAAACAGTACTTCAAATGGGTAATGCAGTAACATAACCTTTTAGGGAACTAAGGAAGTTCTAATTCACACACTTATAGAAATAAATAATGTTCACAGACTTGCAGTATTTAGTTTCATTTGTACATACAGAGAAGAGAGAGTTTCTTGTTTGCCTTTACTATTTTTCATAACAAAAGGGAGTGTACTGGAATACCACGCATAGGATTCAAATGGTATTGGTAATCCACCAGAAACGAGGCCAAAAAGCAGCAAATGTCCTGATATTAGTACCAAGTACAGAAAAGACACATCTGCTTTGGAAAATTGTTACATTTAAAAATGGGTATTTTACAAAAGAGTCTCTGAAAGAGACCCGAAACCTTGTATGTTGCCTGTAACTACCATAATGCAATGTACACTTGATAAGTAATCTTTGTGTGGGTTCTTCAGAAGCTAAAATGAAAACAGTAAATTCCATAAGTTAAAAAACTTGAAAAGAGAGGAATAAAGAAAAATGGCTAAGCAGATGATCAATAAGCAACATTTCAGACTGTTACACTGAAAGCAGAAAGATAATTTAGAAGTACCATAAATCCTCTACAAGAAGCTTGCACAATTTTTCAGACAGAAGATTCTACAAATAGAATTACAAAAAATGGCAATTTAAAAAATTACCAAATAGATTTGCCAGTGCTATGACTCCATCATCTGCATTGCATTTTATTGCTTCATATACTTCTTGTAAAAGTAAAGGCAAGTACTGGTTAAAGCTATGAAGTTAGTTTTATTCAAATCTCAGACTTCACTAAAGGTGAAAATCCTTAACTATCAACTAGAACACAGCAATCAGGAAACAACAGTTTGCTCCTCTTTTCAATTAGATATAAATTAAAAAACACCAAAACCAAGAAGCAAACAAACAAAAACCCCAATCCCCCGCAAAAAAAGCCCCAAACCCAAACAAACAGACAATAAACTAACTTAAAATTGTAGCTAGAAACCCCTAGTTCCCTTTCCTAATGATTATTACTACTGATATAATTTCTTTCAGAGAGTTAAATCTTGACAGACACAATGATTTAATTACTGCTGATGGGCAGAGTTAACTCTGACAGAAAAATTATTAACATGCCCATATTCAGTTCCTTCAAGTTCACAGAGATTTGCTGAAACAGGAAGCATATACTACCACTAACTGCTGTTCTACACCCCTTCATCTCAGAAGTGCAGATCCCACGTGTGGAAAAGCAACCTAACTCTTAACTGATATAGTTGTACTACTTTTTTCAGTTCTGCTGTTTGCCAGGACCAAAATGAACTTGTGGTGATTGCCAGAAGTGGAAGGTTTGTCCTACCTTTGCTTGCAAACAGTCAGAGTCTGCTCTCTGGCCCTATGTAACTGCACAATGTATGAAACTGGGGAACTGATCCTACTGAAAACAGCATCCTAAGTAAGCAAAGCTGTATTAGTTTTAGGATGGGTCAAGGACACTTAAATATAGCAAGAAAAAAATATGTTACAGCATGTCTTGGGGTAGTTCATTAGACACAAACATTCGGCTAAACCTCAAGGTGCAGTTGCACTCGAAAAAATGTTTTTCTTTTACCTGAATCAGTTGTTTGACCAATTTCATTCTATAAAACAGGCACATAGGTGTGAATTGCAGATGTGACCCAATTTTTTGTGCACACATACACTGCCTTCCTAACATCACTCTGGTTGGGAATTAATAACAACCCTCTCATTTACTGACACTTCTACGCAAAGTAATGTTGGCAAACACGTTTCTAATAGCTAAGATAATCCTCCTTTGCCCTAACCTATTTATTACCTGACATAAAACATACAGCTTTATTTAGGCAAGCTGAAAAGAGCATGATGCATTGATTTCCAACAACCAACGAGTAAAAACCTAAGACAGAGTTTCTTTCAAAATGTTGAGCTTTCTGACATGGAAAGTTTCTATTAACTTTCTGGTAAAGACTTCTTCTTCCAAGTAATTCTTTCTATAACTGTCCTGAAAGCCAGAAAGTTTCATCAGGCTGATGGCATAAGAAAAATGTATGCATAAACCCTGGCTTGGAGAGTGACTCTTTATTAGGAACTGTAGTAACAAGGAGTAATGGGTTCAAACTGCAACAGGATAAATCTAGGTTAGGTATTAGGAAGAAATTCTTTACAGTGAGGGTGGTGTGGCACTGGAACAGGTTGCCCAGAGAAGCTGCAGATATATCAGGCCTGCCAGTGTTCAAGGCCAGATTGGATGGGGCTTTCAGCAACGTGGTCTAGTGAAAAGTGTCCCTGCCCACAGCAGGGGAGCTGGAACTAGATGAACTTTAAGGTCCTTACAACCCAAACCATTCTATGATTTTCCAATGGATTTAGTTCTTGATGAACTTGGTATTACCTAGAAAAGCTAAAATGGATGTATTTATTAATACTGAGGGAAGAGGGAAAAATTTCTGAAGTCTACACACAGAACATGCACCAACTGAGAACTGGTCTCACCAGTATGCTACCAGACTCTGCATGCTAGCAGGAATACTGTCAGTGTACCAACAGATTACTTCTTGTGCTGGATGTGAATGTGTGGCAATTGTCTCACTCCTTACAGAGGCTACAACTTACTATCAACCTAACAAAAATAGAATTACACTAATGAAACTGCATCTTGAGCCATACAATTAATTTTATTAAGACCCTCAACTGACACTTGTATGCCAATCAGTCAAAACCATTCAGTGGTTATAACTTGTATTCTTATTGAAATCTTCAGAGCAGATTTTTAACTCTAAGTCACTAGCACCTGCTTTATTTCTTCCAACAGTGGCTTTAAACCAACCTCACTTTAAGAAGCTTCTACACTTAAATTTCATGTCTTGTATTTATTCAAGCCATAAACCATTCTTTCAGAGAGTTCCTTGTTCCTAGTGTATATAAGACAAGGCCTTCTTGTCTGGTTTAGAACTCTTGGTTGATATAACATCACATTCAAAAGCATATCATAACTGAGCTCTGAAACACATTTATTAGGAAGCAAATCTAAATCATGAACACCTCTTCCTTTGTCAAATTTGTTCTAGTAAACAAACAGAAAAGGATCAAAACCACCTTCCACTAGTCATCTTGAAACCATTTCCAGGGTTTTGGCTCCTCATAACATTTCTTTTCAGTTAAAACAATAAAGAAGTCTCCTCTGAATCCGTATTACGTGTTTATGTTTCTTTGATTGACTGAAAACCTATTTATGTTCTGACCTCTCACATAACATAAAATGAATTTTCTCATCTGGACTGAAATGAACAAAATAATCATCTGTCTCAAAGATTTTGATGCATTCTCACAAGGACTGTGCCACAGCTGTTTATTAAGGTCTTCATTATAACTTGGCTTATACTTGGGAGTTACAAAGATGACTAATGCATTAAATGCTCTGCAGTTATGACTGCTTTAATAAATACAAACTGAAGGTGCTATGCAGAAGACACAATGCCTTACACAGGATGCTTGCCACTCACTGAAAAGCACTACCTACACATTTTTCATCCAGAGAATCATTTAATACTCAGTTCTGCTTGAAACTTGCTTTTCCTTTTCAACAGAAGAAAGTCTCAGAAGTGTCCCTATTTTTAACAGACCAATATAAATAGCTTCCAATTTTCATTATGTCCTCATTTAAGAACAGTGCATAGTTATGAAAATAGGAAAGAAGATAAACACTGTTTGTACCAAAGTGCAAACAGGCAACAGAATTTTAAACAGCTCCTATCTAAGGCCTGTTTTATTAAAATCAAACATCAATTACAATAATCTTTCTATTGTGGCAGCTACTATTTAAATATTTAGACATGTTGCAGCCTTACCAAACCCTCTGAATAGAAAAAATACTTCCCAAAGACCCATGAGCAAGTCTACTTTTTTCAGACAGACTGTGGTCCAGTTCTATACTGTCACAATAGCCCTAGACTTTTGTGCTTGATTTTATTATTTTAGGACTCAAGCTTATTTTTTAAAAAAAAGGTCTACTCTCTGAAAAAGTGAATTTCAGCTATTACTAAGTAACTGCCAGGCACCAGTCTACAGAACAGAAACTTCTCATGCAGAACTGAAAGATTAATCAAAGATTTAAAGTAGGATATCAAATATTTTAGACAAATTACAACCCAAAAAATAATATCAAAATGGAGTAAAATAGAAGTAATGAAAAAAGATACACAAGTGGTCAATTTACATTCAAAGTTAATTCCATCTAAAAGGAATCCACCTAAATTCCACCTGAAAAGAATTCAAGAATCTCAGCTATGCAAAAAGGCTGAGAGAGCTGGGATTGTTTAGCCTACAGGAGAAAAGGCTCAGGGGCATAAATCTCATCAATGCATACAAATACCTGAAGGGAGGATGCAAGGAAGGAGTCAGGCTCCTTTGTGTGGTGCCCAGTGGCAGGACAAGAGGCAATGGGCATGAAGTGAAAAACAAGAAGGTTCCTCTGAACATCACAAAACTTTCGGGTTTTTTTCCCCAACCCTAGCATAAGCTACTCAGGGAGATTGTGGAGTTTCCACCCTTGGAGATATCCAAAAGCCATCTGGACATGGTTCTGGGCAACCTGCTCTAAGTGGCCCTGTTTGAGCTGCAGGGTCATACCAGATGACCTCCAGAGGTGCTTTTCAACCTCAACTGCTTTGGGAATTATTAGTTTTTCACATGAGAAGCTAAAAGAATAAACACACACAAACATGACAGATCAAATAATTAGGAAGCAGTGTTGACCACAGTATTTTTATGGCTACATCAATTAATGACTTAATTGGCAAACAGCAACACAATTCTAACTAAAATAGTAACTAAGCTTTAAAGGAGAAAGGGAGGGGGAACCCCTCAATTTAATACTAGTTAATTGTTATTAAACTGATTCCCCAGTTCTAGAGGCTATTTTACAGAAACAATTCCACTGGAAGCCAAGCACCTGGAGAAAAGAAAGAACACAGCCCACTACGTATTTCGTTCAATTAAAAATGGTAACTGGAATGCACTAGGAATTTCCACATCACCTCACAGTGTTTCAAGGTCTACACACATGGATCCACATACACAGTTCAGAAGTTTTAATTACTTTTGAAACTACCCAGTGACTTGAAACCAAAACAATAAAAGACCTGCCAAAACCCTCACTAATGTCACTGAAGTTCATATTACAAAAATGAAAACAGTTAACATTACCAAAATGGGAAGCAGAAGAGTCCTGTGTTATGTGATACACAGAGTAACTGGTTTGATGTTTTTCAGCAACTGACCGGTGTGTACAACTTTACAACCAAGCTACATGTACTGTAGCTAGGATGAGTCCTACTGAGTATCAGAATAAATGTGTGCTTGTCTACAATCCCACTGAACTCTGTCAAAAGTGAAAATGAATGTTGAAGCAAGTCTTTGAACTTCATCAACAACTTGGCCTTTGTGCTGTTATTAATGAATAAGGTGGGCGACAAGGATGTGAATTTCAAAACTAAATTAGCTGCCTAATCCTTTCCTCTGTTAAAATCTGGCTCTCCTAAGTGCCAAATATGACATCTGCTTTGCCTCATGCATGAATTTAAAATAAAATTATTTTTTTAGCTAATTCATAGCACATTGAGGAATGAGTTCCAAAAACCACAATGCTAGTCAAAGAGCAATGGCATCACGATAGTTTTGGTGACAGTATTTTTGTGAAACATTTAAGCAAAGCAAAAGATAAACACACATCTCAGAAATTAAGAAGTATTAGATAATTTCCAATTGCCAATATAGGTAATATTACTTCAAAATAAAGAATTTACTTTCAGTCCTGAGTAACACAAAGGTTTTACTTTGTGATAAATTTCCTGGTTATTTTTTTACTCAATATAATAAAAAATTTCTGCTTTCTTCTTATAAGTAAAAAGTATGTCACATACCTGTTGTGTGTTTCTTTGTGACTGTAAACTGGACTGCAGCCTTCTCAACAGGGGAACACCATTCCTAGACAGTCTTTTAAGCAACCAGTAACTGTGCACTCGTTCAACGAAATGCTTCTTCCGCTGAATGGCCACCTGATTCATAATCTTATTTAATCTAAAACATGGAAAAACTGATATTGTATTTTTCACAGCAAAGCATAACACATATTTGTCTATGGAAATTAAATATCAGATATACATGAACACATAACGAAACAACAGCAGTATTCATAGCATTGCTAGTTTCTTTCAATAACTTCCAGTAAAATTATTTCTGAGCAGTACATTACAATCAAATACATCTGCTTGACACTACAGTTTCTACCAAATACATTAAGGTACTTTGATAAAGCTCAAGGGCATCAATTTTTTCATTATCATTATTTGAAGAGTAATCCTAGATTAGGGTTGAGAATAGAGCTTTATGTGCATTCCAGAATAACTGTCCTATTGAAAATAAAATCAGAAATAAAGCTATAAATCCCTATAGAAGTCTTCAGATCATTTGTTGCCATCTTCACAAAGAATTAGACATTTATTTTAAAGACAGCATGTCTTCAAACTTCTTACATAAACACATGCAACAAAAGGCTTGTATTACTCATCTAATGATATTAAATTTTTGGCAAATAAATCAAACAAAATGTTAAATACAAGAACAGTTATTTTGCCCCACACATACAATGAAAATAGCTGCACGGAATAGATACAAATGAGGATGATACAAAGTCAATCAAATTATCTTGATCAAGATCCAACAGTGTTTTCTCCAAAGTTGCTTTTTAACAAACGCTAATACAGTTTGGATATACTTGCTCATAAACACTCTAGGAAAGTGCTATGTGAACATCACACACAACAATATTGACTCCTGTTTTGCAAAGAATGACATGCTAAAACATGTCTCACACATGATACTGGCCTCAGCCTCTCAAACTTACATTCAAAACACAGTTTATCTGAAACAGAACTTCAACTCTCTGTCCCTACAGTATAATAAAATCATGGCAAAACAAGAGTTTTTAAAAAAGTGAATGGTTTTAGAGTGAAAAGATTTTCTCTCTGTAAGATAATGAAGGTATTTATTACTGATGGCAGACCTTGCAAAATTGACACAAGATGCCCCAAGGCACCAACCACCCATAATCTTATAGAGACAGCTCATTCATTTAGGGGTAGGAGTAAGCTGGAGAGAGCTAGATGTAAAACAGTTACAGAAAGGATAATAACAATGAACAGAAATCTCTTAATTCTTCACTGAGTATATTACTACCCACAGCAAAACTCTACAATCAATAGTTTATCAGATTCTCCAACAAAATGTAATACCAAACCAGGCAAACATTAATTCAAGAAGTGTCTGATTTGTAGAGCAGGATCATGAGACATTTAAACACAAATCATGAACATAAACACATAATAGTATTTTGCTGCTTTTTCCCTTTCAATATTAGGAATAAAGCAGGTAAGTGATAGAAGAAAAGCAGTCAAATACCTAAACAAAAATGTAAAGTTATAAGTTAACTTTGGGTAAAATGATTTTTAAGATTATCTGGGAAACTTTTCAGACAAACATGTAAGTGAAGCCTACCCTGAGCTCACCAAAGGTCATCTATCCCTGGCTGGGTTTTTTGAGCTGTGGAGGAGGTAAACTGCAATAGGTCTACTCAGTGCTACACTACCTGTAGCTACAAGAGCTTTCAGTCACCACCGGGCAAAGGCAGAGCAAACACAGGTTTTCTTCAAAATACAGTACCATTGTGTCCTTTGTTTCTTCAGTGACATTGTTTTTCAATTAGTAACTAAGCCAGTTAAGCTAAAAATTTTCAAGAATGCTGAACTTAAAGCTAAGCATCTGGAGATGACCTCTGGACTGTCCTGTAACAAGTCTTTCACCAGAGGGCAGACACAAGACTCCACAGAGATTTACTCAATGCACAAGAGATGCGACCAAACTAAACTTCAAACACAACATAATCACAATAATCACAAAGTGCAATCAAAATCAAATAATTACTTTCATGTATCTCTTGGAAACAGTAAAACCTGCTGCACCAAGTGGAAAAAAGCACAGCCAAACACACACCTATTTGAAAAGATCAGAGAATCTTAACGTGAAGAAAGTCGCCTTGGCTTAACGCCCATCAGATGTGGCAAGACCAAGCAAACTTCTTTAACTACAGCTTTAAGTACATTTGCCCATTCATATAACCAACCATTCTATTCATAGATAATTATAACAGTAAAGTGCTAAAATAAGCTTAAGAAAGATGTTCACAGAAGATATTCTCCAATTTTCAAAACAGAAAATAAACAGAAGGTAATTTGGAGCGCAGAAACTACATAATGAGGGGTTGGAAACTACTCCTCTCTGTCCTCCCTCCGAGTAAAACCAGATACCGGCTGTTCTTATTTCATTTAGACCCCACAGTTGGGTAGTGGCAATACACCACCAATCACTCCTTAATTTCTCAACACAGAGGTCAGAGACTCTTCACGTGGCAAATCTCTACAGAGCCTCTACACTACCAGCATACTGATATAACAAGGATGCTGCATCTGCTGTTAGACCCTAAAAACCCACTAACTGTATCAGTGCTTTAAATCATCTTTTAGCTTAGTCTGGTATTTCCAGGTAGATTTTTACTGCCCCAAACACCTTTAATTTTGACAGGAAATACAAGTGTTTTGGGGAAACGAGACACTACTTTTGTGCTGCTGGAGAACCCTAGAAGTAGCACAGACTGGGTACTGATTTTGAATCCCCCACTCTTAAAGGAGTTTGCTGCACATTCCACTTCCTGTTTTAATTTTTTCCTGAGAGACAAACAAAAAGAAGAGCAATATATATATA